TGGCAGCGCGCTGGGTCCGGCCGGGCGGGGCGCGGCGCGGCCCCGGCCCGTCTCGGCTCGAGGGGACCGCCGCCGCCAGGCCGAGGGGAGACCTAAGGGGGACCTGGCGTGGGGCGACCCAGGAAGCTCGGCCGAGGTAGGAGCCGCGCTCGGCCAGCGGAGGGAGTCGGTCTCCCAGCCCTCCGGAAGGAGGAGGAGCCGGCGCCGGAGCCGCCTTAGCCGCGGCCGCCCGAGCCGGGCGGGGGGGAGGGAGAGGGGTTGAGTCAAGATGGCGGCCAAGGTGGCGAAGCAGCAGCGGCGGCGGCGGCGGCGGCTGGAGTGAGCTCCCGGCTCGCCGCGCCGAGCGAGGTCCCGGGGTAGGGACGCGCGCCGGGGCCGCGTCCTGCTCCGCAGGCCCGGGGGCGCGCCGGCTACCACGCTCCGCCAGCTCCCGGTGAGTAGGCCCCGGCGCCCGCAGCCCCGGCCTCCGGGCCCCCGCTCGCTCGGGGGCTTCCGAGGGCTCTCGGGGCGCCGGCCGCAGGAACGGCTTCGCGGCCAGGCGAGGGGCGTTGCGGGCCGGGTGGGTCGGGACCCGCCGCGGACGCCCGGCCTCTTCCCCTCGGCCGCCCGGGGCGAGTCGGGCGCGGCGCGGAGCTGGGGCTGGGCGAGTGGAAGAGGCTTATGGAGTTTGGAGGAAGAATGGGCTGCGGCCGGCCGGGTGTCCTGTGGGGAGGGGGCGTGCGGAGTCCTGCGGGCCGACTGAGGGAGACCGGGAGGGCCTGGGGACCCCAGGTGGGGCCGGCACAGGTGGCGGGCCTGGGCTCACTCTGAGGCGGAGTTGGTGGCCGTCTTGGGAGTGTGGAAGGGCTTAGGGAGGGTGACAGCGATGGACAAGTGCGTGAAGAGCAAACTAGTTCACCTTCTAACCAAACCACTTCGGGGTGTAATGGCGAAGGGTGGGTAGTGGTGGAGACGGCAAAGATCTGAACCCTGTACCTTCTGCCTTTTATTATTGGTGTCTTACTATGTGAAGTCGGTGAATTCTGTTTTTCGAGGAAGAGGGATTTGAGAAACTAATTGAGAAACCGGTCTTAAATGGAGAGGAGACTGGATTCTTCGATTTAACTGGATTAGGTGTAGTGCATTAAAGGTGCGGGTGGGACTGAGTGTTATTTATGAAAAGTGTTTGCTCGGGAAGGGTCAGTTGTCTTTTCCTGATATCGCATGGCAGTTAACCTTGGACAGCAGTGGCATAGGTAATTCTAATCTTTGGGACTAGTATATTCAGCTGCATCAGATTTGCTTCCCTAATTGTATCCTAATTATATTGAAATTTACATTCCTTGTGTGCATCCTGGTGAGGCAATGATGGGAGGCCGAACACTGAGCCCAGAGCAACAGGCCCGGGATTTTAAAATGCCAACAAATACTCATTCATTCCTTCAACATATCTTGATCAATACCTGCTGCTGATAGGTCACATGTGATTGTCCCTTCGATAGCTGGAGAGCTGATGTCATTATTTGATTTTTAATAGTTAAAAAAAATTGTCTTAACGTACCCTTTCATAAAGATATTTATTGGATAAACCAAGTGGCCCTGGCTCAGGAGCAGATAGAACAATTTTAGAGTCTTATTTAGAAATGGGTAAAAATTACCGAAGGAATAAACACAAGTTGTTGGAGAAAGAAATACTGTTTGTATTTGCTCATTCTGTTAAATCCTGATGGAAGTTTATTTATTCATTTTAATATTTATAGTGCACAGTTGCCTTGCTTTAAGCACACCTGTCAATGTAAATCAAGGTTAAAACACGTATATATAAATAATATGCACATACTTGCATACATACATAGGATGGGATTGCTTGCAATTCCAAAATACTCTTTCCTTTTACAAAAGGCTTACCATATGTTGAACTACTCCCCCAGAGAAAAGACAATACAGAGAGTCCTGATTCTAACTTTTACTAACTATGTGACATTTTGGAACTTGATAGACCTTTCTGTGCTTCAGTTTCCTCATCTGTGATGGTAGGGAAACATCCACTCTCCTAGGATTGGCTGCTGTGAGCCTAAGAAAGTTAATAGTTATGAAATTGCTTTGAACGGGTTGAAAGGGTTATGTTTCCCTGAGGTAGTGACAACTTCCTTTGCGCTCTTGAAATGCTTATCTGCAAATCTCTCATGGCATTCACACTTTTCTGCTTTGTATTTAGGTATTTAGGTACCAGTCTTATCTCCTCTTGAGGTTAGGATAGGCCCTTCTCAGATTTTATCTTTACATTCAAGGCACCATGTACGACAATAATTTTCTGTGTAGGATATTGACATTGCAAATGTCTGTTCAATGGATAAACATTGTGTTCTAATTAGAAAAACATGTTCACATTACAATTTAGCTGAATAGGCCTGTTATCTCCAGTGACATATCTGTATAGCTGTGATTCCCTTCATAGCCTCTGAGGAAGACATATTTTTAAGTGAATACCTGGTTGGATGAAATCACAGAGTAAAACTTAAGTATTTGGTGTACCCACATAATTTTTTAAAACAAAATACTTGAAGTTAACTTCTGTTTCTTTGAATTTAATTGAGTAAAAGTTGGTTCCAAAGCCAGGCAAATGTAGTCAAGTTTTTTTAAGCCTTTTTAATTTTTTATTTACTTATTTTTATTTGGGAAGTGGTGAGGTTTTCTTGCCATTGCTGCTATAGGAAGCAAAGGCTTTTGAATAGGCCAGGGATTGGTGTAGGTAAATGTCAGGCTGTTCATCAGTGTGTGTGTGTGTGTGTGTGTGTGTGTGTGTGTGTGTGTGTGTGTTTTGTTACTCAGTTTTAATTGTACTTTGGGATCTGTCTTAATTGCAATTTCAGATTCTTATTGATGCCTGGGAATAATAGAGGTCTAGTGTTACTTCGTTACTTCTGTCCTTTCTGACTTCAGATGTTGCATTTTCCCAGAATAGTGCAAAGAAGTAGTTAAGCTTGACTGGAACTTATTCTGTCTGGACTTATTTGCTGATTAGAGATCCATATATAGTTCATTCACTTGTTCAAGTGGTGTGAAGTGCCTTTTATGTTCAGGGTACATTACTAAATGCTGTAAAGGTACAAAACTGAGCAGATCAATTACGTGCACAAATAACTCAGTCTCTAGATTGCCTGATATTTTATCCTTTTCAGGTTTGAGGATGCAAGAAGTACATTTAGACTGGTAGTCAAAACATTTTGTGTATTTCTTTTTCTGTCAGGACCTAGGAGTATTGAAAAGCTATGAAAAGCTTCTGTCATGTAGCAATAATGGTATAAGGGCATCTGTTTTTTATTTGGTATTCTTGTGGTGGTGGTTTTCCTTGAACATTTTTACTGTTCTTCTGCCATTTTTTTTCTACCCCAGAAGCATGTGTGGTCAAAATATTATGTGGATAGTCTTAAGCTACAACATACTTTTGTTTGTTTGTTTGTTTGTTCTCTTTGCATTTGAAAGTCAGATCATACAAAGCCGCGTGAGTGTTCCTACGGAATTCTTCAGTTTGATTCCTCCATGTGTGCTACTGTTGTGTTACTTTTACTTAAAAGTGATCTCAGGGCACTTGGGTGGCTCAGTCGGTTAAGCGTGGTCATGTTCAGTTCAGCTCAGGTCATGATCTCACAGTTTGTGAATTCGAGTCTCATGTTGGGCTCTGTGCAGACAGCTCAGAGCCTGGAGTCTGTTTCGAATTCTGTGTCTCCCTCTCTCTCTTTCTGCCCCTCCCCCTGCTTGCACTCTGTCACTCTCTCTGAAAAATAAACGTTAAAAAAATTTAAAAAAAAGTGATCCCCCCAAAAATCTAAATTGGTTAAAATAAAATGCTAACAATTTATAGAATTCTAGGGGATAGAGCCATAGGTTATCTAGTTTTACCTTTTACTCATGTATAAACTGAGGGCCACAGAAGTGAAGTGATTTGCCTGCATTGTTGTAGCTGGGCAGTGGTAGAATCCAGTCCCCTGGCATCCAGTGTGTAGGGCTCATTCCTTTACACCATCTTGTCCATGGGATGATTCAGTGTGACGATTGACACTTGGTTAAGACAAAAATCAGGGTGGATGGGAAATGAGAGATTGTTTATTCACCTTAGGTCTTGAATTTAAGCTATTTCTTAACTTTAAATTTCTTCAGTGAAAATATAGGTTGAAAAAAATGAGTAGTGATCTACATCAGTAATAAGATCATTGGGAAATATTTACTTTGCTTAATTTTGAATCTGCTGTGATGGAATATCTTCCTAAACAAAAATGTCCTTGAGGTTATCTGGACCTAGTGATATTTCATGGAACTTAAGTATTATAGTAGTAGAAATTTTAATATGTCAATGATTCAGTACTTCTGAGACCCAAACAGGTTAAATTATTTTATAAATTAGCTATTGCTTGCTTCACTTTCAAACTTTTGGATGTTTTCCTTTTCCTTTTTTTTTTTTATTCTTTTAATGTTTATTTTTGAGAGACACACAGAGAGAGAGAGAGACAGACAGACAGACAGACAGAGTGAGAGCAGGGGAGGGGCAGAGAGAGAGAGGGA